TCATCTTGTCTCACTAGCTCTATTGTTATGTGTCCATAAATTTTCATTTTCTGTACCTTATCCCTCTTTTGTATGCCATAATTGGGGCTTGAACTCAGGACCTGGGCATTGAGTTTCTGTTGCTCAGAGCTCATGCTCTACTACCTGAGCCACAGTTCCACTTCCAGCTTTTTGGTAGTTTATTAGAGATGTAAGTCTCATGGACTTTCCTGCCTGGGTGGACTTTGAACTTTGATCTTCAAATCTCAGCCTCCTAAGTAAGTAGCTAGGATTACAGGCATGAGCCACCAGCACCCGGTCACATGACTAGTAAGTGATAGCTGTGTTTCTCACATTGAAGCTTGTGTCCTCCTACATAACATGGCTGCTCTCCCTCCCTTCTTGCCTGTACTTTGTTTTCCTTCTTTCCTCCTCTGGCTCTGCCCACTCTCTTGGCTCTCCTTTGACTCTGCCGAGAGAGTGGTACTCAGCCTGGGAACCTTGCAGATGTGTCTGTGGCAGCAGGCCACACAGACCGAAGTGGGCTGGGCAGTGTCCTAAGAGACCTAGTGAAGCCAGGCGATGAGAACCTTCGGGAGATGAACAAAAAGCTGCAGAACATGCTAGAAGAGCAGCTTACCAAGAATATGCATTTGCACAAGGTGAGTGTGGCCTACCTGCTCACCATATCCATACAGCCTCCTATCTCCTCAGCTACTCTGTCCCTGCGTCAATTCAGCCATCATCCTACCCATTCATCCATCACCCTTACATGCTCTCATCTTCTATCCTTCAGTCAACATAGCAGCTTAGTCATTTACTCTTCCCTCTACTCCTCCATGCACCGAATCATTCATTCATACACCCATTCACCCAACCACTTACCCCTTTGGGTATCTACCATACTGTACTTCCACCTATTTCCCAGCCCACCATTTTTCCTTATCTACTCATGAATCACCCTTTGTCTTACCTTTCACATACCTACTCAATGACCTAACTCCCTACCTGTTATCCTCAGCACAATCTCCTAGTATACCTATTTGCCTGCTACACATTCCCAATGTGTCCATTCATATGTCCATTTGTCCCCACCAAATATTTCCCCATCTCTAGGGCAGTCAGATTCAGTTCCTGCTTTGGACAAGCAAGCTCATATTTGTTAAGAGAGGTAATGAGGGTGACAGTTGTATCCTATAGCAGTACCAGGCTACAGCAGATGACCTACCTCATCCTCTTAGTTCCAGAAATCCCCTACCCATCTAGTCCAGCCCTCTAGGACACTTCAAGTTTCTCCAGGCACCTTCCCACACCTGGCCAAGACACTTCTAGGGAATCATAGATGGCACTCCAGGTTTGGTAGGTGGAATAACCCCTGCTTACTGCTTTGGCTCTTGATTGCTCATTTGTTTCTTAGGACATGGAAGTTCTGTCCCAGGAAATTGTGCGTCTCAGCAAGGAGTGTGTAGGGTCTCCTGACCCAGACCTACAGCCCGGAGAAGCCAGCTAAAGATCTGCAGACTGCAACTACTCCTTCCCCTTTCCAGCCCCCAGGATGCCTTTCCCTTGGGCTGTGGTGGGAAAATGAAGGCTGGCATCAAAATCTAGTAGTTTGGGAGACTGAACATTAAAGGGGCAAAGGCCTATGGCTGGTGTTAATACCTGTCTTAGGGCAAAGGCCCCTAGGGAGTAGGGGTAGGGAAGGGTCCCAAGGGAAGGGCAGAGAATTCTCCTTCTTAGCCCTAGTCCAGGGGCTTCTGCCTTCATCTCTGCATGAGCTCTCCCTCCCAGAGAACAACTCTTTTTTTAAATTATTTTATTTTATTTTTTAATTTATGTTTGAAAGCCTGGCTACTCTACATTTGGGAATGGGGATGTTGGGTGGGGATGCGGTCCATGTTCAGCATTCTAGCAATATGTGTGTGCGTGTGTGTATGTATGTGTGCTCGCGCGCGCGCGTGTGTAAAGGCTGTGCAGCCAAAATACCATCTGGCCAGACGGGCCCACCCACTGAATGTCTGGTCTCATTCTTTTCAATCAAGAGGGATGTGCTGGGAATGGGAAGGTCACTCCAATGGAATGGGGAGGGAAGTCTGCAACTTCCTCCACTTCACCTTACCTCACCTGCCTCCTGACCAACCTCTCAAACTGAAACAATGATCTTCGGATATGTGGGTGGGTGGGTGTGTATGGTGTAGATGAGTGGACATACGGCAGGATGGATAAGTGGTTGGGTGGACTAATGGATAAATATAAGTGGGAAGATGCAAGGATAGATGATGGATACATTGAAAAATAAATGGATGGGTAGGCGACTGGATATATAAATGGGAAGACATCAGTAAGTGGATAGCAGATGGATAAGTGAAGATGTAAATGGACAGACAAATGGGAAGGTGCATGAATCGGGTAGATAAGCGGATGGGTTTACAGACAGGTGGGGAGTAAATTGGTATGTAAAGGGGTGGATGAGCTAGTGAATGGAGAAGAATAAAGTGGGTACATAAATGATGGATAAAAGGACAAATAGGTGGGTTGATACATGCAGATAGGTTAGCAAATGGTTGGGTGGATGGGTTGAACATACAAATGCATGAGTAGATTTGTGGGTAGATTCATAAATGGAGAGATGGCTATATGGATTGGTGGATAGAAGGATGGAAGAATGGACAGATGAAGTGTGTGATAAAATAGAGGCTTTTATGGGCGGGTATATGATTGAAAGGCTAGGCTTAGCCTTGCCTTACTATACCCCCTCTCACAACACACCTTTAGTTGTTTAATATGTTGCATCCTAGCTGGGCATGGTGGTACACACCGGTAACCCCAGCACCACAAAGCTGAGGCCAACCAAGGTACCCTGTCTCAGAAAAAAATAAATAAAGCATCCTGCCAGGCCCAGTGCCATATCACATCACTTCAGTGCAAGCTTCCAATGACACTTAAGTTGGTATAACTCCATCTAACAACTGAGGAAACAATGCAAGTCACTTGCCCAAGGACGCAGCAAGTCAGTGGCATAGTTGGGGTCTGTACCCTCCTATGCCTGCCAGAGGCACTCCATACAAAGTACTCCTCTCACCACCCAGGCACAGAGCCCTCTCTAGAAAAAGTATTATTTGAGGCCACTGGATCTGGACAGATAAGGAAGCCCTGCCTTGGCAAAGGGTCTGCCAGGCTGAGGGTAGAACCGGGGTTGTCCCTATCAGCACTCCCATTACTCCTCTCCACACCCGAAAATAGGATAGAAGATGGGTATTACAGTTCCAACACTGGAAGAAGTCTTGTTTAGAGCTGGCACTTTGACCCATGTTCTCCAGGGGGTCTCTTTAGAGACCGGGCTATCTAGAGAAACACCTCCTCTAATACCACCCCACTCCGGCTTCTGCCCTTTCACAGCCTGGGGGGCGGGGATGGGACACTGCGCTGCATCATTCTCCGTGGCACTCCCGCTCTGGGGCCATTAACGGATGCCTCCCCATCGATCCGATCTGCTAAGTGCTGCTGATTCAGGCGGGTGGGGGTGGGGGTGCCCCTGGGGGTAGAGCGGGTAAGAGCTGGGCAGGAAGAGGGGGGGAGTCCAGGAAGGAGGTGGGGAGGACTGGCAACACTCGCTGCCACCCCCATTTTCCAGATGACGCGACTGAGGCCCAACCAGCTTTGTAGGAGGCGGAGTCTCCCCAGGGTCCCTCTCTGGCTATCCTAGGGGAGGGGGCTCGGGGAGCCAGGAGGCCCCTCCCTGCCTCTCACTCCATCTCCCAGCAAGCTCGGAGGGGCGGGGAGAGAGAGCCGGAGCAGGAAGACAACTCAAGCAGCTCTGCAGAGGGGGCCTGGAGCTCCGGTGTTTGGTACCCCCAGCCCCATCGCTGTTGCTGCAGCAGCAGCAGCGGGGACACAGGTGAGGACCGCCCTATGGGGAGGGGGAAGGGACTACCAGCAGTGCTCTCCTTGCCCTTCCCTAGTCCAGCCCCCACCTCCTAGCCCATCCTGGGATATCCTCAAGGGATCCCCACTGGACCTTGTCCTTCCAGGGACCCAGCCCCTTTCTCCTGCCGGTGCCGCCTTCCCTCCTAGGCCTGGCTGTGGCTGCTGTCTTCTGTTCCTGCAGCCGCTATTGCTGCCTAGTACATCACCAGCCCCGCGGGTGTGGTTTCCCCAGACCTGCCCCCAACTGTGGTACCCAGTCCTCTCCCGGCCTCCCCTACCCCAGCCTCCTGCCAAATCCAGCAGCCCCCTCCCTGGAGACACGCCCAACTCCCTATCAACATCCCACCCCCTCTCCAGCACATCTTGAGGTAGGAGGGGGGGAACCCCTGCCTCTTAGTGTTTTGCAATTCCCCTGGATGCTCAGGGTCTGTGCCCAACTTTGCTGCAGTTTGAATCCCAGCTCCTTGGGATTCCTTGGATCCCTTTTTTTCCCTCCCTAAAAACTCTTTGGAGTGTGGACCTGGGGCTTCCTGAGCCCCTCTAGATATACTTCCCCCTACACCTACCAGTCTCTTAAAAACCCAGCTCCGGGTCCACCCCTTTAGCTAACCCATTCTTCTCGATAGCCCCTACCAGTGGGCCCTGGCTTCTGCCTTCCCCCAGAACTCCTGTAGAATGTAGCCAACACCCCCAGGCTATTCTTGGCTGCTCCAAGCACTCCCAAGACACTTTTTAGCCTCTTTACAACCTCCTGGCTCTGTAGCCACCCTTGAGATGCTCCAACCCCCATTCTAAACCCACAAGGGATTTCTAATCCGTTTATCTTTCCCCCAGAGGTCTTGAAGGTTTGGACAATCCTCCCTCTAGACCCCCCGGCTCCAGACACTCAACCTCTTTCAAGCCTCTCTGGGTCCACCTCTGGATGCCCCTATCCTCTCTCCAATGTGGTCAAAGTATTCCAAGCCCTTTTTCCTTCCCTGAGAACTCAAGTGTGGACAGTTCCCCATCTGTTTCTTGGTCCCTCTAGATACCTCCCACATTTGTTAGGAGCATGCTAACCATTCTAGAGTCATCTCCATCTCTCTAAACCTGACGGTACCCTTCTTTACCTCTCAGGACACCACTCAGACCCTTCCTAGTCCCTCTAAAAGCCCCCCAAGCTCCTCTCTCTCTCTCTCTCTCTCTCTCGTAGTTCCTCCTCCTGGTTCATCTTGGCTTCGCTAGACACCTGTAGTTTCTTGTCCAAGTAGCCCAGGGCCTCTTCAAGCCTCCATCATCCTGGAGACAGCTACATTCTCCTAAACGGCCACCTCACCCCCAAGTCTCTAAGAGCTTGGGGAGCCCCTCAGGATGGCAGCAGGAGTAGCCACGTGGTTGCCCTTTGCACGGGCTGCAGCTGTGGGCTGGCTGCCCCTGGCCCAGCAACCCCTGCCTCCCGCACCCGGGGTGAAGGCATCGCGAGGAGATGAGGTTCTGGTGGTGAATGTAAGTGGACGACGCTTCGAGACCTGGAAAAACACGCTGGATCGCTACCCAGACACCCTACTGGGCAGCTCAGAGAAAGAGTTCTTCTACGATGCTGATTCAGGCGAGTACTTCTTCGATCGTGACCCGGACATGTTCCGACACGTGCTGAACTTCTACAGAACAGGCAGGCTTCATTGTCCCAGGCAGGAGTGCATCCAGGCCTTCGATGAGGAGCTGGCTTTCTATGGCCTGGTCCCCGAGCTTGTGGGTGACTGTTGCCTTGAAGAGTACCGGGATCGCAAGAAGGAAAACGCTGAGCGCCTGGCAGAGGATGAGGAGGCTGAACAGGCTGGGGAGGGCCCAGCCCTGCCTGCGGGCAGCTCCCTACGACAGCGGCTCTGGCGGGCCTTCGAGAACCCACACACAAGCACCGCGGCCCTCGTTTTCTACTACGTAACTGGATTTTTCATCGCTGTGTCGGTCATCGCCAATGTGGTGGAGACCATCCCATGCCGTGGTCCTGCCCGGAGGCCCCCAAGGGAGCAGCCCTGTGGTGACCGTTTCCCGATGGCTTTTTTCTGTATGGACACTGCCTGTGTGCTCATCTTCACCGGGGAATACCTCCTGCGGCTTTTTGCCGCCCCCAGCCGTTGCCGCTTTCTGCGAAGTGTCATGAGCCTCATCGACGTGGTGGCCATCCTGCCCTACTATATAGGGCTTTTTGTGCCCAAGAACGATGACGTCTCGGGTGCCTTTGTCACTCTGCGTGTGTTTCGGGTCTTCCGCATCTTCAAGTTCTCCAGGCACTCACAGGGCTTGCGGATTCTGGGCTACACACTCAAGAGCTGTGCCTCTGAGCTGGGCTTTCTCCTCTTTTCCCTCACCATGGCCATCATCATCTTCGCCACTGTCATGTTCTATGCTGAGAAGGGCACCAGTAAGACCAACTTTACAAGCATCCCTGCAGCCTTCTGGTATACTATTGTCACCATGACCACACTTGGGTAAGTGCTGGCCCTCCTGTGTTTGGAGGTGCTCCATTGCTCTATTATACTCACCCTGTCTGCATAATTGCAAGGTTAGATAAATGACCTCTGTGTCTCTCTGTGGTCTTACACATGCTAAGCTAGCACCTCTCTCTGTCTGTCTCTTTCTCTGTGTCTCTGTCTCTGTCCGTCTGTCTGTCTGTCTGTCTCTCTCTGTCTGTCTGTCTGTCTCTCTTATATCTTGCTATATGGCCCAGGCTGGCCCTTGAACTCTTGATCCTCCTGTCTCAGTCTCCCTAGTGCTGGAATTAGAAATTACAAACATAGGACTGGGAAGGTGGCTCAGTGATAGAGCGCTTGCCTTGCATGCATGAGGCCCTGGGTTCGTTCCTCAGCACCACATAAGCAAAAAGAAAAAAGCCGGAAGTGGCGCTGTGGCTCAAGTGGTAGAGTGCTAGCCTTGAGCTGAAGAGCTGAGGGACAGCGCCCAGGCCCAGAGTTCAGGCCCCACGACCTGCCCCCCCCCCAAAAAAAGAAATTACAAACATATACCACCACACCCAGTTTCTCCTCCTTCTCCTTTTCCTCCTCTTCCTTCTCTTGCTCCTCCTTTCTTCCTCACCCCTCTCTCTTAGTGCCTATGTGCATGTTCCAGTACTAGTGCTTGAACTCAGGGCCTGGGTGCTTAGCTTTTTCACTTAAAATTGGTACTCTAGCAGGACACCACTGGTGGCTCACTGGTATAATCCTAGTTCCTCTGGAGGCTAAGCTCTGAGGACCAAGGTTCAAAGCCAGTCCAGGCAGGAAAGTCCCCATGAGAGACTTATCTCCAATTAGCCATTAGAAAACTGGAAGTGGCACTGTGGTTCAAAGTGGTAGAGTGCTAGCCTTGTGTGAAAAAGAAAAAGCTCAAGGACAGCACTCAGGCCCTGAGTTCAAGCCTAATGATCGACAAAAATAAAAAAATAAAATAAAAGATTGATACTCTACTACTTCATCCACATCTCCACTTGTGGCATTTTGGTGGTTAACCGGAGACAATCTTATGGACTTTCCTGCCCAGGCTGGCTTGGAATGGCTATGCTCAAATCATAGCCTCCTGAGTTGTTAAGATTACAGGTGTAAGCAACCAGTACCTGGCTGCTCTCTTAAGTTTGTTCATCTGTAAAGACTTATGGAGTTGTACTTAATCTTCTAGTCCTTCCAAGCTCTGATCATACCTTGATTTTCGAGGTCAGGAGATCTGGGTTTAAGTTTGACTTAACTATTCTTTCTGTTGACATTTTCTCAGGGTCTCCGTTTCCCCCTCTGTAAAGTAGAAAACGAATCCTAAAGAGGATTCAGTTGTGAGTTCTCTGAATGTTTCTTGTGTAGTAAATATAGTTATTGGCTTCTTGGCACCCTTTTTCCCCTTCCTTTTTTCTCAGTTGTGGGGATTGAACTCAGGGCCTGGTCACTCTCCCTGAGCACTTTGCTCAAGGCTAGCACACTACCACTTTGAGCCACAGCTCCACTTCCAGTTTTCTTGTGGTTAACTGGAGGTAAGAAGCTCACAGATCTCCTGCCTGGGCTGGCTTTGAACCACAATCCTCAAATCTCAGCCTTCTAAGTAGCTAGAAATAAAGGTGTGAGCCACCAGTGCTGAGCTTCCTTCCTTTTTGATCTGCATTTTCTAAACTTCCAGAGTTTTCTGCTGTGTGGGGCTACCTCTGGGGCTCTGTGATTCCTTAGCATTTCCCAAAAGGTATTTTCAGCATTTTTATTCTATTTTATTTTTACTGCCAATCCCTGCCAGAAATCAGAGTTAGGATACAAGTACCAAATGGAATCCTCAAAGTCATGAAATTCTTTTGGGGGGAGGTAGGTTTGCTGGGGATGGGACATAGTGTCTCATATATCTAGTCACAGGCTCTATTACTGAACTACATCCCCAGTCTTCATGAATAGCTTTCTCTCTTTCTCTCATTCTTTCTTTTCTTCTTTCTTTCTCTCCCTTCTCTTTCCTTCCTTTTTCTTCCTTCCTTCCTTCTTTCCTTCCTTCCTATCTTTCTTCTTTCCTTCCTTTCTTCCTTCCAGTTAAACCCAGGGCTTCATCGCTAGGTAAGCACTCTACCACTTGAGTCACACCTCTTGCACCATGACTTCCTTTTGTTTGGTAGTTTTGTTTTGCTGTTGCTTCTTCTTCGAGACAGAGGGAGACAAGGTCTCACTATATAGAGCAAGCTGTCCTGGAAGTTGTAATTCTCCTGCCTCTGCCTCCCAAATCTGGGATTCTAGGCATATACTATCAGGCTTGGCTTCCTCCAGATGCTCTTAAAGATATTGTATAGGACAGATGCTGTAATCCTTCTGTAAATTTCCATTGCTAGGATTAAGTATACTGTTGGTGCTAAATATCTCTAGAATGAGTGACTGCTTGCTCAGAGCCTTAATAGAGGTATAGAAAGTTGGCTTATCTGGGCTCTGGTGATTTATTCCTACAATTCTACTCAGGAGGCTGAGATCTGAGGAACATGGTTCAAGGCCAGCTCAGGCAGAAAAATCCATGAGACTCTTACCTCAAATTAATCAAAAAAAAGGAGAACTCTGGAAGTAGAGGTGATGCTCAAGTGGAAGAGTACCACCTTTGAACCTAAAAGAGCTCCCAGACCAAGTTCAAAGCTGTAGTACCAGCAAAATAAAGGAGGCCAGGTGCTGGTGTCTCACACCTGTAATCCTAGTTATTCAGGAGGGTGAGATCTGAAGATTTCAGATCAAAACCAGTCTAGGCAGGAAAGTCCGTGAGAATGTTTATCTCCAATTAACCACCAAAAAGCCAGAAGTGGGGATGTGGTTCAAGTGGTACTCATCTTGAAGAAAAAGGAAAAGCTAAAAGCAGCACCCAGGTCCTAAGATCAAACTATAGTGCCAGCACAAAAAAAAGGCGGGGGGGGGGAGGGAAAGAAGAAATGTTGATTTGTGGTTTGTAAGGAGTAGAAATTAATTCTAGGTGGAGGTTCAGGATTAGTTCATCAAACCAGTTTTAAGCCCTGACAGCAAGTTGGCACTGAGTATTTTTTTTGGGGGGATCTAAGACTAGGATTTGAACTGGGTACCTGACACTTTTCGCTCATTGGCTAGCACTCTACCAACTGAGCCATACCTTCAACCCTGAGATACTGGGTATTTTTGGTGCTTTGTTTTTCAACTCTATTTTTTTTCTTTTCATTTTTTTTGTACTGGGGATTGAACCCAGGACATTGTACTTGCTAGGTGATTGCTTTGCCACTGAGCTGTATACCAGCCTGATACTGGGTATTTTTGATGCCTTTTGCCCTATTCAGTCCTCATAACAGCTCTGTGAGGGTAAGTGGATGACTTTCCATGGTTCATAATTGAGAGACAATCTGAGGTGACACATTCTAGAGCCAGAAGTTGGGACACCTTGGGAACAGAGACTTGATGTGAATAAAGCAAGACACAGAAATAAGGAAGAGCCAGCCATTCTAGGGCAAAGAGGAAAGGCCTAAAAGCTGAAGATCACAGAGGTAGCATTTCTGTGCAGCTCCAATTGGTCTTGTGATTGGAATTCCAGTATGCTGTGTATTCCTGAGCTTTGTTAGTTCCTTGCTCTGAGAATGTAGAGAGATATGCAAACCTAATAGAACATTCTTTTCAGGTTGCAGAGCCCCTTGGCTGGCTTGTAGTGGTGGGACTCTCTTCCCAGGAGCCTATATTTACTTGCTTTTGGCTTCCTTATTCTCCTCTCTCCTTTGTTTCTTTTTAAATTTTTTCAGTTTTAATCAGAATCTTTTATTAATTTCGTATATAAGTTTTTAATAAGTTTTTTATTGTGAAAATACCATACATAGAAGTGGCGCTGTGGCTCAAGTGGTAGAGCATTAGCCTTGCGCTGAAGATCTGAGGGACAGTGCTCAGTCCCAGAGTTCAACACAACCGACAAAAATAAAAACAAAAACACCAAAACAAACAAAATACCGTACAGAGGGGTTGCAATTACATGAGCAAGGTAATGAGTACATTTCTTATCAAGCATTGTTGCCTCCTCCTTTGTTTTTCCTCTCTCCTTTGTATTAATACATTTCTATCTGACTCAGATACCTAGCACATAGCTCAGATGAAGTCAGCAGGTGGTAGAGGCAAAGAGGCAGCCAAGAAACTGAGGCTCAGAGAGACTAAGGGTCTGTCCAGGGATGCAGAGTGAGTCAGGGTTGGATAGACTGCAATGGGGGGGGGTCTAAGAGGTGGGTGAGCACTTTTCCTGATCTTGACCTACCTTCTTCCTTTCCCAGCTATGGAGATATGGTGCCTAGTACCATTGCTGGCAAGATTTTTGGGTCTATTTGTTCACTCAGTGGCGTTTTGGTCATTGCCCTGCCTGTACCAGTCATTGTATCCAATTTTAGCCGCATCTACCACCAGAACCAACGTGCTGATAAGCGCCGAGCACAGCAGGTAACCCTATCTTTCTTCTGAGTACCCCTAATTCCCCACACCTTGAGCCCATCTATTTTTGGGCTCATCCACTTTGTCTCCAACTGTATAGAAGGTACGCCTGGCAAGGATCCGGTTGGCAAAGAGTGGGACCACCAATGCCTTCCTGCAGTACAAGCAAAATGGAGGCCTTGAGGTAGGGAGGGACCCAGATAGGGAGGTGGGGTAAGCAGGGATGAGGGGAGGAAAGTGCTCACCTCTTTCTGTTCTTTGCATTACCAGGACAGTGGCAGCGGGGAGGGACAGGCTCTGTGTGTCAGGAACCGGTCTGCTTTTGAACAACAGCATCACCATTTGCTGCACTGTCTAGAGAAGACAACGGTGAGACTGAGGGAGAGGTGGCATGGCAGTAGGGAGGCTTGCTACTAACAGTGGAGATCACACCAGCCTCTTTCGTAGATAGGATGGCAGGTATGAGCCATCAGTGCCAGGCGGACACGAGGCTTCTTGAAAGAGATTGAAGAATGAGCAAGGGATGGGAAAAGAGGGTGACTTCCAGGAAGAAAGGAACAATTTAATCAAAGGCACAGGGGAGGAGACTAGCTCCCATGATGTACCCAATAACCCTGCCTCCCTTCTTCCTACAGTGCCATGAGTTCACAGATGAGTTAACCTTCAGTGAGGCCCTGGGAGCTGTGTCTTTGGGTGGCCGCACTAGCCGTAGCACCTCTGTATCCTCCCAGCCAATGGGGCCTGGCAACCTGTTATCATCTTGCTGCCCCCGCAGAGCCAAGCGCCGTGCCATCCGCCTTGCCAATTCCACTGCTTCAGTCAGCCCTGGTAGCATGCAGGAACTGGATACACTGGCAGGACTGCGAAGGACTCCTGCCCCTCAAAGGTAAGCACCTGTCCTACTTGCTGTCCACAGATGGCAATGGGGGTGGTGAAAGGACATAGCACTTGGACCAGTGGGTATGAGATGTCATGACTTTAAGCCTAGCAACTCAAGTTCAAATTCAAACTTCATACATAGATCTTGAATTTATCTTATGTGAAATTCCTCTTTCAATTTGGACATTAATGGTGACACATGATTATAGTTCCAGCTCCTTAGGAGGCTGGCTGAATCAGAAGGAACATTTGAGCTCAGAACTTTAAGCTCAGACTGGGAAACATAGTGAAACCCTATCTCAAAAAATAATTTTGTTGAACCTGGTATTGGTGGTTCACACCTGTAATCTTAGATACTTAGGAGGCTGAGATCAGAAGATCCTGGTTTGAGGCCAGCCTGGCAGACAAGTCCATGAGACCCTTATCTCTAATCAATCAATAAAAATCTGGAAGTGTAGCTATGACTCAAGCACTAACCTTGAGCAAAAGAGCTAGCACCCAGGCCCTTAGTTCAAGTCCCAGGACTGGCACACATACAATAAAATATTTTTAACTGGGGCTGGGAAGATGGCTCAGTGGTAGAGCACTTGCCTTGCATGCCAGAGGCCCTGGGTTCGATTCCTCAGCACCACATAAGCAAAAAGAAAAAAGCCAGAAGTGGCGCTGTGGCTCAAGTGGTAGAGCGCTAACCTTGAACTGAAGAGCTGAGGGACAGCGTCCAGGCCCAGAGTTCAGGCCCCACGACCAGACAAAAAAAAGAAAAAACTATTTTTAACTGGGAGAGAGTGAGGAAAGGGGTGTCCAGAAAGAAATATACTCTTTACCTGAAGTATGTAACTGTAACCCCTGCATATATCACTTTTGTGTGTGTGTGTGTGTGTGTATGTCGGTTGTGGGGCTTGAACTCTGGGCTTAGGCACTGTCTCTGTGCTCTTCAGCTCAGGGCTAGCACTCTACCACTTGAGCCACTGTGCCACTTCCAGTTTTCTGAGTGGTTTACTGGAGATAAGAGTCTCATGGAGTTTCCTGCCCCAGCTGGCTTTGAACCAGATAGGATTATAGGCATGAGCCACCAGTGCCCAGCTACATCACCTGTATAGTAACAATTAAAACTTTTTTGTCCAGTCCTGAGGCTTGACCTCAGGGCCTGGGCACTCTCCTTAAGCTTCTTTACCCAGGGCTAGCACTCTACCACTTGAGCCACAGCTCCACTTCCACCTTTTTCTGTTTATGTGGTACGGAGGAATCGAAACCAGGGCTTCATGAATGCTAGGCAACACTCTACCAGTAAGCCACTTTCCAAGCATCATAATAAATTTTTTTAACTAAAAAAATAATATTTTGAGCCAGGCACTGGTGGCTCATGCCTTAATCCTAGCTACTCAGGAAGCTGAGATCTGATGATTATGGTTGAAGCCAGCCTGGTAGGAAAGTCCATGAAACTCCTATCTCCAATAAACCACCCAAAACCCAGAAGTGGAGCTGTGCCTCAAGTGGTAGAGATCTAGCCTTGAGCCCAAAAAATAAAGAACAGCCAGGCACCAGTGGCTCACGCCTGTAATCCTAGCAACTCAGGAGGATGAGATCTGAGGATTACAGTTCAAAGCCAGCCCGGGCAGGAAAGTCGATGAGACTCTTATCTCCAACTAGCCAGCCACCAGTAAAACAAGAAGTGGCAAGTGGCGCTGTGGCTCAAGTGGTAGAGTTCTCACCTTGAGCTGAAGAGCATAGGGACAGCACCCAGGCCCAGAGTTCAAGCCCCAAGAATGACAAGAAAAAAAAAAGATGGAAATTAAAACTTAGCTGAGTGTAGGTGGCTCATGCCTGTAATCCTAGCTACTCAGGAGGCTGAGATCTGAGGATCTTGGTTCAAAGCCAGCTGGAGTAGGAATCTCCATGAGACTCTTTTTTTGTTTTTGTTTTTGTCTGTTGTGGGGCTTGAACTCTGGGCTTGGGTGCTATCCCTCAGCTCTTCAGCTCAAGGCGAGCGCTCTACTACTTGAGCCACAGCGCCACTTCCAGTTATCTAGTGGTTTATTGGAGATAAGAGTCTAAGGGACTTTCCTGCCCGTGATCCTCATATATCAGCCTCTTGAGTAGCTAGGATTATAGGCGTGAGCCACTGGAGCCGGGCTCCATAAGACTCTTATCTCCATTAAACCACTCAGAAACCTGGATGTGGCACAGTGGCTCAAGTGGTAGAGTGCTGAAGAGCTGAGGGACTGAGCCCAGACCCAGAGTTCAAGCCCTGTGATCAACCAAAAAAAAAAAGAAAGCAAAAAAGAAAACTAGAAGTAGCACTGTGGCTCAAATGGTAGAGCGCTAGCCTTGAGCTGAAGAGCTCAGGGACAGCGCCCAGGCCCAGAGTTCAAGCCCCACAACTGACAAAGAAAAGTAAAGAACAGCATCTAGGCCTTGAATTTAAGCCCCAGTACTGGCACAAGAAAGAATAATTTATTGAAACCAGGTGTAGAGAGACTCTCTTAGTTTATCAGCAAAAATCCAGACGTGCCTGTTTTGCTCAAGTGGTAGAGTGCCAGCTTCAAGTAAGCAAGCAATATGAGAGTATGAGACAATTAATTCAAGCCTCAGTACTGTCATACACAAAAATATTGAGCACCTACTGTATGCCACAGAATTTTAGGCACTCGGGATATAGCAGGGAACAGAACAGACAAAAATTTTTGTCCTTGGGACTGGGAAGGTGGCTCAGTGGTAGAGCGCTTGCCTTGCATGCATAGGCCCTGGGTTCGATTCTTCAGCACCACATAAGCAGAAAAATCCAGAAGTGGTGCTGTGGCTCAAGTGGTAGAGTGCTTGCCTTGAGCTGAAGAGCTGAGGGAAAGTGCCCAGGCCCAGAGTTCAGGCCCCATGATCGACAAAAAAAAAATTCTGTCCTGAAGCTTATGGCTCATGCCTATAATCCAAGCTACTTAGCATGCTGAGGTATGAGGATCAATGTTTGAAGCCAGCCTGGGCAAGAAAGTCCATGAAACTCTGTATTTCCAATTAACCACTAGAAAACCAGAAGTGGTGCTGTGGCTCATAGTGGTAGAGAACTAGACTTGAGCAAAAGAGTTCAGGGAAGCCAAGCACTGGTGACTCATAGTTCAAAGCCAGCATAGGCAGGAAAATCTGTGAGATTCTTATCTCCAATAAACCACTAGAAAACCAGAAGTGGTGCTGTGGCTCAAGCAGTAGAGCACTGGCCTTGAGCTGAAGAGATAAGGGACAGTGCCCAGGCACTGACAAAAAAAAAAGAGTTCAGGGATAGGGGCTGAAAATGTGGCGTAGTAGTACTTGCCTAGCATGCATGAAGCTCTAGGTTCAATTCCTCAGTACCACATAAATAGAAAAAGCTGGAAGTGGCGCTGTGGTTTAAGTAGTAGATTGCTAGCTTTGAGCACAGAGAGGCTCAGGAATAGTGCCCAGGCCACAAGTTTAAGCCCCAGGACCAGCAAAAAAAAAAGAGAGAGAAGAGAGAGAGAGTTCAGGGATAGTGTCCAGACCCCAAGTTCAAGCCCACAGCCAACCAAAAAGAAAAAAGCAAAAAAAAAACAAAACACAAAACCTGTCCCTGGCTGGGATTATAGCTCAGTGGTAGAATACTTGCCTTTTGTTCCACCCCCAGCACTGAGAGAGGGAGGGGGAGGGAGAGAAGGAAGGAAGGAAGGAAAGAAAGAAAGAAAGAAAGAAAGAAAGAAAGAAAGAAAGAAAGAAAGAAAGAAAGAAAGAAAGGGAAAGGAAAGAAAAAAGGAAACTATCCTATATTTTCAAGATAATTAAGTGGTGCTGTGGCTCAAGTGGTAGAGTGCTCACCTTGAGCTGAAGAGCTCAGGGACAGTGCCCAGGCTCAGAGTTCAAGCCCCACAACTGACCAAAAAAAATCAAGATAATTAAAGAAAATCACAGAGTAGGGACTGGGAAGGTGGCTCAGTGGTAGAGCTCTTACTTTGCATGCCTGAGGCCCTGGGTTCGATTCCTCAGCACCACATAAAAAGCCGGAAGTGGCGCTGTAGCTCAAGTGGTAGAGTGCTCGCCTTGAGCTGAAGAGCTGAGGGACAGCGCCCAGGCCCAGAGTTCAGGCCCCTCGACCGGACCCCCCCCCAAAAAAAAAAGAAAAGAAAATCAGAGTATATAGTAGGTAAGCACCAAGTAGAAAAAGAAACCAGTAATCATGGCTAGAGAGTACAGAGAAAAGGGTGATATGGTGCTTTTTCTTTACTTTTTAATTAATTGATGATTTTTTTTCCAGTCATGGGGATGGAACTCAGGGCCTACACATAGGAGGCAAGTTCTTTATCAGTGATCCATACCTAAGCATGGTACAGTTTTAGAGTGTGGTCAGGGAAAGCATTTGTTAAGATTTTGTCAGAAGCCGGGCGCTGGTGGCTCACGCCTGTAATCCTAGCTACTCAGGAGGCTGAGATCTGAGGATCGCGGTTCAAAGCCAGCCCGGGCAGGAGAGACCGTGAGACTCCTATCTCCAATAAAACCACCAGAAAACCGGAAGTGGCGCTGTAGCTCAAGTGGTAGAGTGCTCGCCTTGAGCTGAAGAGCTGAGGGACAGCGCCCAGGCCCAGAGTTCAAGCCGACAAAAAAAAAAAAAAAAGATTTTGTCAGAGTCCTGGCCTGAAGGAGGGACACTAGACTGGCATCTCTGATAGAAATGAGGATAGAGTCTAGTGCAGATTCTGTGTGTGTGTGTGCGCGCGCGCACAAGCACACTGGTCCTGGGGCTTGAACTCAGGGCCTGAACACTGACCTTGACCTTTTCTGCTCAAGGTTTATGCTCTTCCACTTGAGCTATAGCTCCACTTCTGGCTTTTTGGCTTGGTTAATTGGAGATGAGAATCTCACAAACTTTCCTTCATGAGCTGACTTCAAACCAAGATCCTCAGATCTCAGTCTCCTAAGTAGCTAGGATTACAGGCATGAGCCACAGGCATGCCCAGCTTGTTTTTGTTTTTGAAACAGAGGGTTTTTTTTTGACAGTTGTGGGGCTTGAACTCAGGACCTGGGTGCTGTCCTGAGTTTTTCTGCTCAAGGCTAGTATGCTATCACTTTGAGCCACAGGTCCGTTTCCATTTTTCTAGTGGTTAATTGGAGATAAGAGACTCTGGACTTGGCTAGGTACCAGTGGCTCACGCCTGTAATCCTAGCTACTCAGGAGGCTGAGATCTGAGGATTGGGGTTCAAAGTTAGCCCAGGCAGGAAAGTCCATGAGACTCTTATCTCTAATAGACCACTAGAAAACTGGAAGTGACGCCGTGGCTCAAGCCGTAGAGCACTCGCCTTGAGCTGAAGAGCGCAAGGATAGCGCCCAAGCCCAGAGTTCAAGCCTCACAACCGACCAAAAAAAAAAAAGTCTCTGGACTTTCCTGCCTAGGCTGGCTTCAAACTGCTATCCTCAGATCTCAGCCTTCTGGTAGCTAGGATTACAGGTATAAGTCACTAGTGTTCAGCCAAGACAGAGTTTTATCATATAGTCCATGCTAACCTGGAACTCACCACCTTTCTGCTTCAGCCTCCAAATGCTGGAATTACATGCACATACCACCATATCCATCTCCCAATATAGAACTTTACAAGGATTTTGGCATTGTTAGGAGAAACAATAGGTAGTAATACTTATGTAGGCATGAGGTATATGTAGCTCAATGGTAGAGTATGTACTTATCACACAAAAGGCCCTGGATTTAACCTTCAATACCAAACAAAAAGTGTGTACATGTATACTTACATGTAAGTGCACATATATGTACATCTGTTAGGTTTCAGGCATTGCTCTGAGCAATTTATATCATGTTAGTATCTCATTAGCATTCTACCACAATCCCATGAGGTATATTATTATTCACATGCTGAGACAGGTTTAGTGTGGTAAAAAGTGTATTCAGGATTTGAACCCAGGACTAGCTGACTCCAGAGCCCTTACTCTCTTACAACCATCATTAAGGATGAAAAGGGAACATTTAATGAAGTTTCTGGGGATCAGTAGGTGCTAAATAAATTCCAAAATGGCTGTGGCAAGTATTAAGATAACTTTTGAAGAGCCTTCAACCTTTCCTACCCCTGTCCACAGCCGCTCAAGCCTGAATGCCAAGCCCCATGACAGTCTTGACCTGAACTGCGACAGCCGGGACTTCGTGGCCGCCATCATCAGTATCCCCACCCCTCCTGCCAACACACCAGATGAGAGCCAACCTTCCTCCCCTGGTGGCAGTGGTAACAGAGCCAGCAGCACCCTCAGGAACTCCAGCCTGGGTACCCCTTGCCTTCTCCCTGAGACTGTCAAGATCTCTTCTCTGTGAGGGGTGGGCCTGTCCATTCAGAGGGCTCTCTTCATACCTGGGGACTCCTTTCCAAAGCCATATTTTGGGGAGGCAGACAGGGGAAGGTCTGGGGATCCCTTCTGCTCCCTGCCAAGAACTATGCAATGGAGTTTCATGGAATAGGCCACTGGGTGGGGAAAGAGCTGGGAATGGGCAAATTCCTCCACCCCCATTTTCCAGGTGGGAGCCGAAGCACTAGACTTCCACAGGGCCTTGGTCTTCTTGGCCCCTAACACAGTAGGACTGGCCCCTTTCTCCCAGCGGGCCTCTTGCATGCAACTCCCATCTGGCCTTCAGACAGATGTCAGAGTTCTGGCCTGGCAAGGAGAGTTTAGAGAAGGGAACCTGATCTAACCTCTAGGAGAGATTCTCACCCTCCATCAGGCCCAGCAGTTCCCAGATTCTGAAGCTTGGAATGCAACCATGGGCTTCAAGGGCTGTGTCCTCAGCATTGTCCTGCCACCTCCCCCCCGCCCCCCGCCCAGGCCTTAGCTGAGGGGCCAGGCTGCCTCTCCCAACATACAGATAGCACAAACATCATCACCGCCCTCTTCCCTGGCTGCTGGAAATGGGTCTCTGCCATCCTGTTCTCCCTCTGCTGGGCTTCCAGCAAATTCTAGCAATAGCAGCTGCTGCCTTGATAATATGCAAAGCCTCTGACCAGTTTGCTGCAGCATTTACATCTGCCCTGATCAGAGGGGCCACCTGTAACAACAACAACTCCTCCTCCTCCTCCTCCTCCTCCTCCTCCACCACCACCACCTCCTCCGCCTCCTCCTCCTCCTCCTCTCTTCTCTGGGTTGCTTCCTTCATGGTTGGGCTGGAGTCTGGACTGGCTGAGATAAGAGTCTGGCAGTCAGCAAGAACTGGGCTGTGTTTGGAGATCTTGTGCCGATTCCATGTTCTTGGGCAGGACTCCAGAACTGTATAAGGGCTGAAGCTCTCCTAAACTCTGGTAGTTACAGGAGGAACTTCATCACCTCCCTCCCCACAGCTCTAGCTCCTTTCCACATATTCCTCCTCTTTGCCCTCTTGGGTCACCTTCTGGAACTTGGCTCTCAGGCTGAAATCTGGCATCATCTCAGATTCCCTGTCCCCAGCACTGTCCCTATGGAGCTGGCAGCTGACAAAGATGTAGTTTCCATCAGTCAATAAAACCTGAGAGGAGAGATGAGGACTAAGCAATTTCTGAATCTGGGTGTGGGGAGTTGGGTTGGATTAGGGGAATATATATATATATTAGTTGGTTGTGGGGCCTGAACTCGGCCTGGGTGCTGTCCCTCAGCTCTTCAACTCTAGCACTCTACCACTTGAGCCAAGCACCACTTCTGGCTTTTTCTGTTTATGTGGTTGCTGAAGAATCGAACCCAGGGCCTTATGTATGCAAGGCAAGCACTCTACCACTGAGCCACCTTCCCAGCCCAGATTAGGGGATTATTAAAATCACTGATCTCAGTTCATTTCAACAAGTGGAAAGGGTGTGTGTGTGTGGGGGAAATGTGGAAAGTGGATGGCTGGTGAAGTATTCTGGAAGATGAGGATCTTGGAGACATGAAAGAAGGTGAAGAATTTACTTCTATAGCCAGTAAGACAGGCGAAGGGCCATCATCTGCTTTATTCCCTCATTTGCATTATGGAGAAGCTGAGACCCAGAGCCACACATAATTTGAAGCAACTTAGGCTTCTTTTTTTGGTGTATATGTGCCTGAGTTGGGGCTTGAACTCAGGGCCTGAGTACTGTTCCTGAGCTTTTTTGCTCAAGATTATGGCTCTACCACTTGAATCACAGCTCTACTCCTGCCTTCTTTTTTGTGCCAGTCTTGGGGCTTGAACTTAGGGCCTAGGTACTGTCCTTGAGCATTTTTGCTCAAGGCTAGTGCTCTACAATTTGGCTTTTTGGTGATTAATTAGAGTCTCACAGACTTTCCTCCCCAGGCTGGCTTTGAACCTCAGATCTCAAGCCTCCTGGGTATCTAGGATTATAGGCATAAGCCCAGGAATCTTGATAACCAACAACTATGAATTTAACCCCAATAAAAGCATCTCTCAGTTTGGGCTATTTCCTTTCAGTTTGGATGTCCACTACATTCCCTCTTCTGGACTACCAGTTCCACTAGTGCAGTGTGTGAATGATCTCCATGCAACAGACCTGAGATTTAAGTTCACCTGTTCTAATCCCTGAGTGAAAGAATCACTTATCTTCTCTCTTCTTGTTTCAAGTTGCTTATAAGTGAAATACAAACAATAATTTAATAATCAATTATTTATATTTATTTTTGTGCTAGTACTGAGGCTTGAACTCAGGGCCTGGGCACTGTCCCTCAGCTCTTCAGCTCAAGGCTAGCACGCTACCACAGCTCCATTTCTCTTTTTTTTGGGGGGGTCTGGTCGTGGGGCCTGAACTCTGGGCCTGGGCGCTGTCCCTCAGCTCTTCAGCTCAAGGCTAGCACGCTACCACTTGAGCCATAGCACCACTTCCAGCTTTTTTTTCTGTTTATGTGGTGCTGAGGAATCAAACCCAGGGCCTCATGCATACAAGGCAAGCGCTCTACCACTGAGCCACCTTCTCAGTCCCCCACAGCTCCATTTCTGGCTTTTGCTAGTTAATTGGAGATAAGAATCTTTGGTGTTTGTCTGGCCAGGGTGGCTTCAGACCAAGATCCTCAGATCTTAACCTCTTGAGTAGCTATGATTACTACAGGCATTAGATACTGGCACCTAGTTCTGTGTGTGTGTATATGTGTGTGTGTGTGTGAGAGAGAGAGAGAGAGAGACAGGGAGACAGAGACAGAGAGACAGAGAGGGGGGAGAGAACTGGGGCTTGAGTTCAGGGCCTGGGCTCTATCCCTTAGCTTTTCCACTCAAGGCTAGTGCTCTACCAATTGAGCCACAGCTTTACTTCTGGCTTTTTGTGGTTAATTGAAGATAAAAGCTCAGAGACTTTCCTGCCTAGGCTGGCTTCAAACTGTGATCCTATGGTCTCAGCCTATTGAACAGCTAGAATTACAGGCATGAGCCACTGGTGCCCAGTTTATCCCATTCTTGATATCCTACATTTGATGGATATCAAAAAGACACAGTTCATAATGATACATCTGTGCCTGGAACTGAGGTCTTCCACCAAATCCCAGGATACTTCCACACACCATCATCCATAAACTGGTTATGGATCACTTACTATGCACCAGTTATAACACCAGGCCACTTATTAGCATTCATCTCTGAACTTCAAATAGGATAAATAGAAATGGGATGAAGTGGGTATTAAGTGAATTGCAAAAGATTGCTCAGATGAGGACAGAAGAGTCAACCTTAGTGCAGTTGTGCTCCAGCTGCTCAGCAGCAGGGATTTTTGTTGGTCGTGGGACATTTACTCAGCGTTTGGGTACTGTCCCTGTTTTTTTTTTTTTCTCAAGGCTAGAGATCTACCACTTTGAACCACAGCTTCATTTCCGGTTTTCTGATAGTTAATTGGAGAGAAAAGCCTCACAGACTGTCCTGCCCAGGCTGGCTTTGAACTGGGATCCTAAGATCTTCGATTTTTGAGTACCTAGGATTACAGGCGTGACACACCAGCGCCGGAGCCAGGAATATTTTGTTTTTGACAGCATTGTGATGCACTGGTTGGTCACAGAGCTAGCTCATAAACAGTCTTTCAACCTAAGCAAACGTTCTAATTTGTGAAAAATGCAGCTGGGCTCAGGTAACTTACGGCTCTAATCCTAGCTTCTCAAGAGGCTGAGATCTGAGGATCAGTGTTTGAAGCCAGCCCAGTAAAGTCCGGGAGACGCTTATGTCCAATTAACCACCAAAAAGCCAACGGTGGAGCTGTGGGCTTAAGTAATAGAGCTTCAGTTTACGCTTAAAAAAAAAAGAAAGAAAGAAAAGCTGAGAGCACCCAGAACCTGAACTCGAGCCCCTAAACTGGCACAAAAAATAAACAAACAACAACAAAAAGCCCCAAGCAAACAAAAAAAAAAAACCTAATATAGACAGTGCTACGCCTGCGCACTAGTTATAGGGGCGGAGAGGTCAACAAGAGGACAAGAAGGCGGAGCTGCCAGACAAGGCGTGTCTGTTTCCTTAAACACCCTCACAGCTTATTCCCGATGGCTGGAACCAGCCTTAGCACAGGTCTGTCTGAAGTGAGTGACAGCGTCTCTTAACCAATAAACGCTGACTCAGTCTGTTGCCGGGTGAAGCAGTACCGCCCCTTCTATGCCGACGGGTGGAGCCGGAACTGACGCTACAAGGGTATGTTAAGCGCCGAGAATGCTGATAATGTTCAGTTAGTCGAGCTGTGTTCTCGCTGGAATCTTGGGGCCGAGGCGCTCTAAGCGAACAGGGGGCCTTGCTGTCTTTTTGCAGTATCCACGCTAATGAATTAGAGCCTCAAGAAGAGAAGCGAAAGACAGAAATGGACTGACAAGAAGAAATGCTGAAAACAAGGGTGCCTACTTTAAAATTTTAAGACGGAGAACACGGAAGGGCGAGCGCTTCTTTCTGATTGGCCGGCGGACGTTGTTGAGGGCCCACACAGCTTCTTCGATTGGTTAGTGATCGCAATTGTTGTGGCAGCTGGCGATTTTCGCCAACGTATTTCCGAGCAAGAGGCGGGGCTGTGTCCAGGCGCGCATGCGCTACTCCTGGGGGCCCCACCCTATAGTTCCAGAACCTGTAAGGGGGTGGAGCGAAGAGGTGTTGTTTTGGTTCTGTTTTCTCTGTAGCCCAAGCCCGGAAGGAGGTAGCAAAAAAACTTGGGGGACTTTACATCCGGGATCTCCTCGGGGCGTGACCTGCATACCGCCTACGGCCCTCGAACCAGTGCCTAAATCTCTATCCGGGCCTCGCAGCTCCCGTCGTGCTCCGCGCAGTACAGTAGCCCCCCTCATCCGGGTTCTATCCCATCGTGCTTCGCGCTGAGTTTGCTGGGGGGTACTTGGCGGTGCCGCCATGACTATTCTCCCCAAAAAGAAGCCGCCACCTCCCGACGCTGACTCCACCAACGAGCCGCCGCCGCCTGGGCCGCTGCCCCCAGCGCCGCGTCGCGGCGGGGGTGTGGGCGTGGGCGGCGGCGGCACTGGCGTGGGTGGTGGCGACCGCGACCGCGACTCGGGCGTCGTAGGTGCCCGTCCCCGTGCTTCACCACCACCCCAGGGCCCACTACCGGGGCCCCCTGGCGCACTCCATCGGTGGGCACTCTCCGTGCCTCCAGGAGCAGTGGCAGGCCCTCGTCCACAACAAGCCTCTCCACCTCCTTGCGGAGGTCCGGGTGGTCCCGGCGGCGGTCCAGGTGACGCGCTTGGCGCAGCAGCCGCGGGGGTGGGCGCGGCGGGCGTGGTGGTGGGCGTGGGAGGCACCGTGGGCGTGGGCGGCTGTTGTTCGGGACCGGGGCACAGCAAGCGACGGCGACAAGCTGCCGGGGTTGGCGCAGTTGGCGGGGGCAGTCCGGAGCGAGAGGAGGTCGGCGCTGGCTACAACAGTGAGGACGAATACGAAGCTGCTGCAGCGCGCATTGAGGCTATGGATCCTGCCACGGTGGAGCAGGTAAGGGCTGGAGAGTAGCTGGGTGGGTGGCAGGTTTTCAAATGTGATCTCCAGACTGAGACCTAAGAAATGCTGAAAGTGTTCTGAAGGACCTAGGTCTTTCTGCTGGTGTGTGAAGCATGAAGAACTTTCTTTTACTCCAAGAACTTGGGGTTAGGCACCCTCTTCTTAGATAAGGGAAGGTCTTAAAGATGAATCCTGAGGCCTCTTTAGGACCCTTAGCTGTCATTCCAGGCCGAGTAATTTCATCTAAACTAATAGGTGGGAATTCTCCAGGAGACTCAAGCAGAATAGATCCTGTCCGAGAGGGATGTCTCAGGTGTCTCCAGGGGACTTGTCTATTCAGCGACTTGAACTGTTTGTTTTTTTCTAAGAGAAGTCTGAGATTTTCTCTGCAGGGAATTCAAATAAGGTGACAACTTCAGAGGTGGGGGTGAGCATCCCAAGGAATCTGAATTCCTTTGTTGAGGCTGACATCTTGTGTATTGACAACTCTCCTCTTCCTTTCTAGAGCTGATTGCTCTGCAGCAGGGCCTGGCACCTCAGGGCTCCTAAGCCTGCCTTCTGGAGACACTTCTTGTAGAATTAAATGTTTTGTGTACACCCCACACACACTTTAGAGAGGGATTTCCTGGGCTTTCCTTTAGGGAGGTAAGACTTCTCTCCAAGAGATAAATTATCTCTTTCAAAGACCACAATCAATACCCAGGGAGAACAGATAGTACTTGGTACAGTAGATCTCTTTCCTCTCAGTAGCCTGAGATAGTCCTTCCATAGAGGCAAGAGTGTGAACCTCTTCTCCTGGACCTAAATCTTTTTTTTTTTTTGTTTCTGAGAAGAAATGCCATTTTAATTAGGATTAAACTTAAGGCCTTAAATTCACATACATTATGCACTGTTACTTTTCAAGGAGGAAAGAGGTAATCAATCAGCTCATTAGGTCTGAAATCATTTTAACAAGGCATTGCTAAAACTTTGTATAGAAAAATAACTCCGTGTTAAATCCTTGGATGTGTTAGTTGAGGATGGAGTGGTGAGCCCCATTTTCCATGGTTCTTTTTCTGTCATCAGGCCTCAGGGGTCACATAAGGCCCCAGAGCATTTCTCTTGGGACTGCAACACAGGTCAGGTTTGGCACACATTTTTATTTTTATTTTGTTTACTTTTTGACTTTTATGTTTATAAACTCAAGAACACTCTTTGGGAATAGGAAGGTTGGGGCTGTCTCTAACAAAAGCTGGCTTGAGCCAGGCGATGGAAGTGAACATTCATGGGCATCTGAGAGCCCCCTACCAACCAGTTATAAAATCCTTTACTTCCATTATAAAGACTGAAACATACTTTGAAGATTTAATATTCCATTTTTTCCCCTCTAATGGGTTTGAGAGCTTCTTTTGTGTGTGCTTGAACTCAGGGCCTGGGTACTGTCTCAGCTTTTTTTTTCCTCCCCTCAAGGCTAGCACTCTACCATTTGAGCCACAACTCCATTTCTGGCTTTTTTGAAGGTTTATTGGAAATAAGAATCTCATGGACTTTTTCCTGCCTGAGCTGGCTTTGAACTTTGATCCATAGATCTCAGCCTCCTGAGTAGCTAGAATTACAGGCTTGAACCACCCAGTGCCTTTGAACTCCTTGTTATGTATTTGAAATCACAGTTTGGTACATGGGCAGGGTGCAGTTCTAGAAGTGATGTCTGAGCCCCTCTATGGATCTAGTCCTGCCTTCAAGGGCCTGAGATCCACTGTGCTGGACATTTGAAGTTTCTTTTGGGAACAAGAACCCCATATACCTTCCAGAGACCTTATACAGATAAGGTCTAAACTTCTTCCTCAAGAAACTTGAGGTATTCGTCACAAACAGGACTGCCCACTGGAACTGAGCCCTGACAACCTTACCTTGGAACGTGGATGTAGCGAGTCCTGAGTGCTCCTCCCATCTGGGGGGTTGAGTGCCTGTTTTGACCTTAGAATCTGATACCTGAATCTTCCCTGAGGGTGCTGTCACCTCAGGCAACATACATACTCTTCTAGTCAGAGAAGCCTTTTAGGAACGTTAGAGTTCCTGCCTTGAGGACAACCACTTTCCTCTCAGTACCTAGGCTGGATGGAATTCTGAGAGAGAGTCTAGGCCTCTTTCCTGGGGCTTGAGCCATTTCCCTCAGGGACAAGAGGTCTTCTGAGTTACAGACTGATTCCTGAATCCCCCTTGGGCATGAAGCTCTCGTACACACCTGGTGATCCTTTATCACCTAGGAGAGGACATGAAATTATCTTCAGTGGAACCAGAGGCATCCTTCATTGGACAGAGGAATGTGGGTACACAGGTCATAAGAATTCCTTATGGGGCTGGGAATGTGGCTTAGTGGTAGAGTGCTTGCCTAGCATGCATGAAGCCCTGGGTTCAATTCCTCAGTACCACATAAACAGAAAAGGCCGGAAGTGGCGCTGTGGCTCTAGTGGTAGAGTGCTAGCCTCCAGCAAAAGAAGCTCAGAGACAGTACCTAGGCCCTGAGTTCAAGCCCAGGACTGGCAAAAGTTAGGGCCAAGGAAATCCTACATTCTGTAAGAAGATTGTCAGGTCTGAGGTAGTAAGAGGGATTCTGGACCTGGGAGAGATTTGAACTGGTTTTTTTTTTTTTTGGGGGGGGGTGTTTTTTTTGTGTTTTGTTTTTGCCAGTCCTAGGGCTTGAAGTTAGGGCCTGAGCACTGTCTCTGAGCTTCTTTATGCTCAAGGCTAGTGTTCTACCACTTGAACCGCAGTACCACTTATGGCTTTTTCTGAATAGTGTGGAGATAAGTCTTACGGACATTCTTGCCTGGGCTGGCTTCAAACCGTGACCCTCAGATCTCAGCCTCCTGAATAGCTAGGATTACAGACCACGAGGGCCCAACTTGGAACAGCTTTTGGGCTTGGGGCATCCATATTCCTGGGAAATTCCCCCAACTCCCTCTCCTTTTGTCTCAGTACTTTTGGCTTTTTTCTGGTGTTGGAGCTTGAACTCAGGGCCTAGGTGCTGTCCCTTAGGTTTTTTGCTCAAGGCTTAGGCTCTATCCCTTGAGCCATACCTGCACTTCCAATGTTTTCTGGTGGTTAGAGATAAGAATCTTATGGACCTTACTGCCTGGGCTGTGTGTGTGTGTGTGTGTGTGTTTGTTTGTCTGTGTGTCTGTGTGTCTGTGTCTGTCTGTGTCTGTGTGTCTGTGTCTGTGTGTGTCTGCCAGTCTTGGGGCTTGAATTCAGGGCCTGGACACTGTCCCTGAGCTTTTTTGCTCAAGACTAGTGCTCTACCTCTTGAGCCACAGCTCCACTTCTGGCTTTTTGGAGGCTAATTGGAGATAAGAATCTAACAGACTTTCTTGCCTGAACTAGCTTCAAACTGTCATCAGATCAATTAGGATTACAGGCATGAGCTACCACCACCTGGCCTGGGCACACTTTGTACTATGATCCTCACATTTCAGTCTCCTGAGTGGTTAGGATTGCAGGAGTGAACCACTGATACCTGGCCTCCACCCATGCTTTTTGTCAGGACAAATCATCTGGATTTAATGGATTCAGAACTAGGAGTTGTTTCTTCTCTCCAAGGGTAGGGTAAAGTCTTTCTTTCTTATAGAAATGGGATGCTAGCCAGGTGCTGGTGGCTCATGCCTGTAATCCTATCTACTCTGGAGGCTGAGATCTGAGGATCGAGGTTCAAAGCCAGCCTGGGCAGGAAAGTCCGTGAAACTCTTTTATCTCCAATAAGCCACCAGAAAACCGGAAGTGGCGCTATAGCTCAAGTGGTAGGGTGCTAGCCTTGAGCTGGACTGCTGAGGGACAGTGCTCAGGCCCAGAGTTTAAGCCCCATGACCGACCAAAAAAAAAGAAAAAGAAATGCGATGCTGTACATCCATCCCTCATCCTAGGGACAGAGAAGGAAGTACTGTGCTGCCATGTTTATACAGAAAGCACTTTAGGCTAGGAATATACGTAGAGGTAGAATGTTTGCCTAGCATGCATAAAGCCCTGGGTTCGATAGTCTTGAGCAAAAGAAGCTCAGGGACAGTGCCCAGGCTCTGAGTTCAAGCCCCAGGACTGGGAAAAATAAAGCACTTTCTTTCATCCTTCTTGCAATCCTGCCCTCACATTTGCTCCCATAAGAATATGAGAGTAAAGTTCTGTGGGTTGGTGAAATCTGCCTTTACTTATGACATAGTAGAGGCTTTCTGTCCTACCCTCTTGCCCCACCTCTGGCTCAACTTAGGGCTTATTATTTTTGTGGGGGAAGGGGGTGGGGAATGATTCTTTCTGCTATCCTAATCTTGGTCCTAAACTATCACCAAGATATCTATAGCCTGGTGGCCTATAGGATCCCTTGGACAGAAGGGGATTTTGATCCAGGTTCTGCATATATACCTCTGTTGTCCCTGGCATCTGCATGTCTAAGTGCTGGGGAGATGATGTTAAGGGGTTCTTTTCTGAGAGACACGGATGCCTTGCTGCGAATTTAACCTTCTGAAAAAGGTAACTTGAGTTTGGGGACCTCCTAGAGCTCTTGGAAAAGATGTATAAGTGCTGAAGTAGGAGGTGACACTGGGTCTAGCCAGTAATTAGTTTGTCTGGGTTCCAACTCTGGGTTGGTTGGGTTTTATTGAAAGAACCAGAATAGATTCTGTTTATGTTCCCCTGCACCTTGGTCTCCTCACTGGTCAAATAAGTTGCTGATGAGTTGTTATTTAGCTTTAGAATTTTAAGAAACTCCTATCACTTTGAACTTGGAAGTGACAGTGAATAGTAGGTGTCTTTTGAGGAGAAACTGGATTATTTTTTAATCTTTCTTTCTTGTTTACCCCTCTGTTCTCTCTCAGCCATCTAAAGCTTGATGGGCATGCAAAGTTGCCTATTTGGTGTGAGTCTTAAAGTTGATGAATGGCAATGTTTGTGACCAGCTGTGGTATGGTCATAATCTTGGTGTGGAGCCTGTTGGATATAGTATAAAGAGTTGTATGGGAACAGTTTGA